GTGTACGGGGTTTCACGTGGGGCCGAGGGGAAAAAAAAAGAGGGAATGAGAAAGAGAATGACCGGACACGCCGGTGGAGATCGTTGAACTGGTACGATTTTTATCTCTTTTGCCGATCGGGACAACCCCCCGTGTCTTCTTGCTCAGTTTTTCGAATCGTTCGCGGCTAATCGAGTGCGTTCCTCGATCGAGCTCGATGCCGAATTGTCCATTTTACTTCGGATTCCTCGCGTGCTGCTTTCTTTTCAACAACACCGTTCGCTTTGGAGTCCGTGAACTTTTTATGGATCCTTGCGGCGATTGAATTGTATTTGGGAAGATGAATGTCTAAGACTTTAGATTGAAGTTGTAATGTAGATCTTCGTAGTAGAAACTTCTGATTCTACGGATTCGAACGTCTTAGTATCTTATCATCTTACACGTCGAATTCGAGTATTTTAAGTTTACTAAGACATTCTCGAAAATAGATCGTTTCTACAATTAAAGAATCAACTTGTTTATCAAACACACCGATTAATAATCCCTCGGTTGTTCAATGCACCGGCCGTGACACTGAATTTTTCCTTTCCTTTCACCGGCCGATTTCGATAACGCCCGGAATGTTTACCCCGCGTAATTAGCGGCGCGTACGTGTCGCGCTCTCGCCGGGGCCGGCGCGGCCGAAAAGATTCATGGAGGATCGCGTGCGCGCCGGTTATTACTGCTCATTTCACCCCGGTAGCCGCGCAACGGAAAATAATGTAGAAAATTGTTTTGCGGTCTTTTTATCTCGATTTCAGGGACGTGACGGCCGTGCCGCGCGGTGATAGGCGACCGCCTGGCCGAGCGCGGCGAGGGCAGCGCGGGCGGGGGCGGGCAAGCGCAGCGAGGGCAGGAGGGCGCTTTGTGTGTCCCATCAATCACGCGGACCTTTTCACCGAGCGGATATCGGGCCTGCCCGTTTTTGCGTGCGGTGCATCCCTCTCGATTGCAATCGCGGCGAATTATTGAATCTGCTGCATCTCGTCTGTCCGGATTAGGTTGGGTTAGTTCGCACTCGTCCCCGACTTCCCTTCGCATTCCGCGATTTTCCATCCCGAAAACTGGCGGATTTTCCGAAAATACTTTGCCCCGTTTCCCTGCATACTCCTACCGATCCGTGGGAAAGAATTTTCAAGGGGAATCTTCGAATTCTTCAGATTCGAATTCTTTCTCGTCGAAGCTTAACGCGGAATTTCTAGGAGATGTAATACTAATGATTATACATGAAAGAGAGATTTTAATTCGAATAGGAATCATCATCTTTTTTTCTGTTATAATCGGACTATTGTAAAAACCGTAGAGTTCTATTCTGAATGAACTGAGTTAAGATGCTTTAATCAGCAATTAATAATTCATTAGAGTACTTACTAGTCGAAGACCAGGCCCACGGGTCCCAGGTTTCGCCGGCTGCGTAAGAAGATGGTCATTGATGGAACGGATGATATTACTTTATTTGACGACGTACTTAAACAGTGAAAGATTTCGTCCCCGAGGCCAGTCACGCCCACGAATCCGCGCCACCGGCGACCCGCTCGTGGACGGTTACTGTCCCTCGTAAAAAAAAGAAAAATCGGAGGAAACAGCCTGGGGACGTGACATAACCCGGACTCTCAGAATCCTTAGGACTTGTGATATTTACAACACTCCGGAGTATACAAGTTCGCCCCTCGAGGTAGAAGCCTCTCAACGAGCCCCATCACACAGGCATCAACATCACGCTCGATCGATCCTTCCTCGCATCAACTCTACGGAACAGCCCTGCCGACGGTATCGACTCGTCGTCGATCTCGGGCGTAACGAGGATCGTCGCCAGGCATCGATCTCTCTCGCTCGAAATGACAATCAGGTAGTGCTTGACACGGTACAATTAGCCTAGGTAATAATTGGACGCCGCTTATATTTACATTAACTATACGAACGTAAACCCTGGTTAGTCCTCGAGTCCTTGATAGATCCCAGCCGAAGGACCAGGCGCTAAGTTGTTCACCTTTGTGCCCTGACGCAGGGCCCTGATACATTCCGAGGAAATACAGAATTCCCTTCGCGACGAACGTAGACCGCGATGATCGATGATCGATCCACTTCACCGAGTACCAGAGTCTGTCCAGTTCACGCTGGACACCTCTGCCGCTCTTAGTAAGGTCTCCAGACGTGTCTAGGCTTCGGGGTTCTCTCTCGTTTGGGCCTGACCGCGTCCCTTTTCACGTCCGTGTCGTCGTCCTTCTTCCTGGTGGTTAGATCCTGACCTACGTTCTCCTTGTCCTGGTCCCTCTTCGTGCTGAGGTCCACCGTGCCCTCTAAACGGATCTTCATCGACAGGTCCCGCCGCGGTAGCTCGTCGCTGGTTGCCTCTTGATCGTTCGAGTTCTCCATGCTGGGTCGCAGGTGGACGGACGCGTTTTGAAAGGTCGCCGCGTCGGTCGTCGCGTCTTCCGCGTCGCTTCTCGACGGAGAGATCCGAGGGGAATCTTGCTCTGGAAGGGACTCGTCGCTCCTCACTCGATCTCTCGCTTGATCGTACTCGTTCCTGTCGTCTACCTCTATGCTACCGTCCGGACTCTCCAATCCTGATCGATGGAGGACGTCTTGATCGTCGTCCCGCTGCTTCTCTTCTTTTAGACCGGTTTCCGGACTGTTGCTGGTGCTTCGCAGCTTCCTGAGTTCTTCTAGTCGCGCCTGGTCCGGCCTCTGCAGTCGCTGCTGCGCCATTCGTAACGCTAGCGCGTGCCATTCCGGTTCCAGCATGTACTGCTGCGTGTGATAGAGCGGATTGTAGAGCCAAGACGACTGCGGCAGCAACGGCGCGAATATCGATCCGAAGATGGACCCTGTGGCGCCCAGAAGATGGAGACCTGTTGGCGGATCAGTGATTAGTTTGGTGTTTGTTCTTTGGAAATTTTTTCTGGGATTATTTCGCACTGGTAATCGATGTTATCGAAGTAAAGGCTTACGAACTGTTTTTGAGAAACCTTTTGTACACTGTAGAACTTTTGCCAAACAAATGATAAGAAGACAGTAAATATGAGAACTTGTTAGCTGATTAATGATTAGTCTGGTACTCGTTCTTTCAGAATTTTCGGTGGGAATTGCAAGATAATTTCGCACTGCTATTCTATGTAACACCGAAGTAAATATTTAACACTAGGACTATCGAGCAATTAATACGATTAATATGCAATCCCTATAAAAATTGTAATAATTGATTATTAATAATTCCTTCAGACATTCATTATAGTATTCAAGTGAAACTGTTTACTTTGAAGATCATTTCGAATAATCAACGCTTTTAAGATATCAATAATTACGAAATAAGAACGTTGAAACCAGTCATTTTGGTACGGTAGTTGTAGTGTTAAGAACAGTTTCTGAAACATTCAACCTACCCTGTACATATTTGCCAATGAAACGATAAAGAAATTTCTGGAAATTTGTAAACTGATTTTCTACTGCCAATTTAAGCTCCACTAAAGTAAATCTTGAACAATTTCCAAGGAAACTTCTCAAACTGTAAACAATTCCTGCCACTCCGAAGAATCTGCTAATACGTTCGAACCCCTCGCAACGTAGCATCAGTAGAACGAACCGTGTAACTATCAGACACGTGACAAGAAAAAAGAAGACAATACCTTGGAAATGAGAGTGATGTCCGGAGGGGCTAGGCGTGGTGGTGGTGGTGGTAGTGGTCTCCGCCGGTGGTGTGGGCGCCGCGACGGTGGCCGTCGTGAGCAAACCGGGTCCAGAATTACCAGGTGACGAGGTCGGCGTCACTTCCCTCACAGAGACGCTGATTGGACCCAAATCGTTCCTGGACGACTCTTTAAAGAGATTCATAGTTCCCCGTTAACGAACGTACCCGTTCCTCTGTCAATCCTATCCTACAGTCTCTATTCGCGATCCTTTCTATCCAAAAGAAGCAAACGGAGAAAAGAGAATATGTTTTTTTCTCTGAAACGGACATCGATCTCAGTCGAATCTACGCGAGGAATATTCGAGCGAGGATATAACGCTGCCTTCAATTCTATAGGATCGAGAACGATCGTATCCCTCGCGAAGACGTGATCCCTCGATAACCGTCCGTGATCGTGTCCCTTTCTCTTACCGGTGTTAGGTCCGGGAAGTCTAGGAGATCTCTGCTCGATGCTGTGGTGGAAGGGATTGAAAGCCGACGCACCAGCTGTTGGAGGATGTGTATGCGAATGGTGACCGGGAGGCGGTGGAAGACAGTGCGGTGGCAGAGAACCTCGGGGCAGACCACCCCACCCTTGGCCGGCTCCTTGCTCCAGACCCAGGTGTTGCAAGCCTGTGCAATCGAAGAGATCCGAAATTATGTCTGTCAGGTAGTTTGGCTTTTTGGCCGCCGACTCGGACTGTGGGATAACTCGGTAGCCAATGGAGAGACCCAGGGAAATTTCGTTCGGAAGCAGCGCGCGGGAAGGAAGTCGCGAGAATTTTACTTCGACTTCATTCTAATCTTAATTTACGTTTCAAAGGGGCATCTTCTCTTTCAATATTAACTTCTGTTCTTTTAACACTAGGTTTACGGAACGCGTCAAATTCACGCATATTGGATTTTAGAAATATTATTTTGTAAATGTTTACGTCGATTTTGATTGATGCGATCATACTGACATGTACCCCAATTACCTACTATCAAATCTCCAGTTCCCACAATCTAAATAAACGAGCGTCAATTCTTTTAGGAATAATAGAATGAAGTGTACAATAAATGTCCGTAAACCTAGTGTTAACATGGTGACGCTGGATTTGGAATTGGTGATGCACGACAAAAGCTATCCTTTCTTTTTGGTTAGTTGATTCTTGGGGAAATCAAGATTTCATACTTTCGGAATGAAAATGTTATAGTTTTTATTTGTAGCGCTAAGAATATAGGACTGTCATTTGCAGATACATTGATGAGCGTTGGATCGATGGCATTTATGTGAACATAGGGAAAATTTAAGTTATGTCAACTTAGAAATAATATGTGTCTCAGTGTGATTTAACACTATAACTACCAGGCAACTAAAAAAAAAATTAGAAGAATAAGTTCCATGAGATTCTAAGGGCCTTCTGGTCTCGTATCTCTTGAAACACAAACTTCATTTAACTCTTTGAACTCTGTAGGCTCCAATATTGCACCAGGAATAATATTAGATATTCGAATGAATCTCAAAGAAACTACCCTACAATTATTAGATTTTCCACAGATCCAAATTTTGCACTAGGAAGGAAAATAAAAGATCTAAGAAATGCTATAGCATCACTTTCTCCAGAGATACTATAAAAATTAGTTGCAGTTGCTGATATATTACAAAACCATCTGGAGTGCAGAGGATTAAAATCTCTCGCCGAAACGCCTTCATGATTTAAATACTTCCGAAATCAAAATTCTGACGTTCAATTTGACTCGGTAGCTTTAGTGTTAATTCAGGAAATCAAGTCTTAGGTTAGATCGAAGAAAATATATATGAAACGAAAGGGACGGATGATCTCTGAAGTATTTACAGTACAGTTCGGTATAAATCTGTCGTCAAAGGGTGGGATTGAACGGTTTCTCGGTAGGTTTAAGGAGAAATCAATCATGAACAATAATAAACGCAGCACGTGTGACTGAGACAGACACGAGCCCAGGGACAGCAATAAACAAGCCTGCAGCCGCGTTCATTAGAAAAGAAACGGTTCGCTGGGGGTCGATCCGGGAACGTGCTATAACGTCAGACGTACAAACGATCACCGGGTGACAGACGTAGCAACAGAAACGCTTCCCTTTGACGCAGCGAGATCGTTTGACGTGGATGGACAGTTAAATTTATCCAATAGAGAATAGAGGGAACGATCGATCACCTTTCTCCTTCTTTTTTCTTCCACGTTTTTTTTTTATTCAATGCTAGCCAATACCGCGCGACCATGGGAAGGGTTCCGTGTGTGCAGGTATGCAATTAAATCCACGACATCGGAAGAATTAATCTGTTCGAGCGCGATTACAGCGGTCGCTCGGCCATCGGCTCTTTGTCCCGGAATTTCTTCCGCAGAAATCGCCTCGTGAACAAGACCGTCCACTAACTGTAAAAACAAGACTGAACCTAAGACTATACAACGAAAAACCTAAGAATCCTAGAATAATCTTTTCCATAGAATCTACTGAACATAGAAAATTCCCCGCTGCAAGGCATAGAACAATAAAACACGAAGCTAGAAGGAAGAATCTTAACCAGAAATCCCACGATTCGTCTCGAGCCGAAGAGATTTTTCCCGATCGCGGAAGGAACAAGAAATCGATAAAGAAAATGAAACTCCGAAAACCGTAATACCTCTGGGAATAAAGCTTATCTTCCAGACTCCTCGGGCCGAAGGAGGAGAGCTAGAAGAAATAATATATAGAAGCAATATCCAAGAAGAAAGGAACGATCCGACCGGAACGAAGTTAAAACTACTACGCGACGAAACCGCGGAGAAACGAGTTTCCGCCGGGCTGGCCGCCCCTCGGCGGTGGGCGGCGGGCCGGTTGTCTAAAGAAAGGAGTAAAAGTGAAGCCGTAGTCATTGGCACGGTATCGGTTTTTCGAAACACCTTGATCAATAGCAGATTATACCGTCATCTGTGCGGGGCAGTTTAAAAATTCCGTGAAAGCTCCGAAGCCACCGGTGCGAGCGCCGGAGTGGGGACCGCCGAGTAGGAGAGGTTCTCACCCCTCGCCGCTGGGTGGGGAGGGTTGTCTGGTCACTGGAACGTGGGCGTGGCGGCTCGTGGTGGCGTGCCCGCCGATTGGACCAGCCGGCATCCCCGCCAGCCGGCGGACGGCCCGTGGTGGGGACGGAAAAAGCTCGGTAGGGGACGAAGGGGTGATTTTTAAGCTCTCTTTAAGCCGAGCTTGCCAGAGAGGACACCACTATCTCGCGTTCTACCACACCGGCGTGGTACAGCGAGCAGAGCCCAGCTGGTAGAGCTCGCATGGCGAAAGAAAGGGGTGAGACGGGCTGGATGACGGCGCGGGTGGGAGGCCGGGAGAAAGCTTGTAGCTGCAGCTACTTTATGAGGGGATTAAGAAAACGATAAGAGGCGCGCGAAAGCTGCGCTGCCAGTGGGCTTAAGGAGGCAAAGGGTTTCCGTGTACCTGATGCGCCCCGTGAGTGCGGACTTTGCTGGGGCTGCTTTCTGAACCCTCGGCCGATTTTTCAGCCTCTAGCGCGCGGGAGATCTTCGGACGGTGTCGAACGATTGTATGTTCGATGGATATCTGGAGGGGGTTGCTTGAATATGTTCTTGTTTTAAGGTATGTCTCTGTTTTTTGCAGGTTGGTTTAATGAAGATAAGGGAAAGTATGGAGGAGATTTTGGAGAGTTGCGATTTGGAGTGATTATGAGGAAGGAGAGGAAGGAATAGAAGAAAGGGAGGTTTAGAGTTAGTATAAGGGTGAGTTTTTCTTTGGTTTTCTTTGATTGTGATTGATGAGAGATTTTTATTGTTGGTGGTTTATGGCGTTGAGGAGACAATTTTCGATTTTGGAGAGTTGTGGTTTGGAGTGATTATGAGGAAGAATAGAAAGGAATAGAAGAAAGGAGTGGTTTAGAGTTAGTACAAGGATGAATTTTTCTTTGATTTTCTTCAATTGTGATTGATGAGAGATTTTTATTGTTAGCGGTTCGTCTGGTTTCAGTCAACGGTGAAGTTTCGGTATTTGACAGTGGCGCGAATCCATTTCAAACTGCTCGTAACATACTTTCAATTTAATAAACCCCCCGAAATGCCTGGCACCCTCTTGCTCGCGCGCGTACCGGGGACGGGCACGAGGGGGCGGGCGGCGGGCGATAATTCCGAAAACAAATGAAGACTAATGAGGGGAGAACCTGGGCGAGATCTCTGAAAGAGTCGGAGGGAAAGAGACGGAACGCCCGGAGAGAGCTGAAAGGGTTCAAGGAGCCGCTACCCTTTAAGGGGTGAGAAATGTTAAGCTTAAACGTTACGGCCGTAGGGTTAGTTGCCTTTATGTGTGCCTTCCGCTGGGGTACATAGGCTTTAAGGGATGATGTATTATCGAGCAGCATGTTCAAAATGCGCCGCGTTATTTTAGCCGCGACGCGTTTTGGCCTGTGTCAATGTTACGCCTCGGAACCGTCACACGTTTAATAATGAATCGCGGCGAAAGGTTTCCGGGAATTAATTAACCGATCGCACCACGGCGTTTTAAACGGGAGCACTGATAAATTTTCGGTTATTCTTTAATATCTGGGAAATTGGATTCTTTGGTAATAAGTAGTATAGGTCAGCCACGAGTCGCACTACGTAAAACTCTTTCCACGTGCTTCCAGCGGTGGTAGAATCTTTTCGGTTCAATTGCTGCTCTCTTAAAATATCACACTAATTAACAACGCGTACTCTACTTGCAATAAAATTCTCAAAATTCTAACTGCAGAATATTTCTAACTCACTGTTAATATTTCCAGTTCGACGAGGAAGCAACGTTCATGGAACCATGACAGACATTTCCGTCTATCCCTCTGTCGCTGGAAACTATAGAAATTTTCGACAAAAAGTAAACAAAAGCTAGGCCTAGAGGTTCTTTTGTTTCCCGCTGAAGAGAGACAGGTTGTTCCGAGCGTCTGCGGGAGGAGGGTCGAAGGGGGTGGTACGTCTGTCACGCCTAGAAGAGGGCCGTGTCGACGGAGGGCAACTTAAGGGGCGTTTAAAGACGTTGGGCTAAAGTTGGACGGGCAGCCCCCGACAGTAAAGAGTAAAGCCGGTCGTTTCGAGGTTGCTCGCTTAAAACCTCCCCACCTCACGCTCGGCAGCCAGAGATACATAATAAATTAATTCGCGTATTTTCCTGTCCTCCTTATCTATTCAAATCTATGCAAAACAGGAGTTAAAACGCCCTTCTTACTCCCAAGGCGTTAACCCTTGTGGAAGCTCTCTCTCTCTCTCTCTCTTTCTCTCTTACTCACTTCTCCCCTCTCTTTTCCAGCTTCTTCTCTAAACCCCGTACTCCTCCTGTCCTGGGCGCCTCGCACCCGGCCCCCATCCCCCTTTCCCACGTTCTAGCCTCTCACTACGGTCGGATGTCTTTGCACACCCACCCTTTGCGCCCGTTCTCATTATCGCGTCGCAGCAACCCCTAAAATGCCACCCTGGAAAGGTCCCTGGCACCGATCTAAGCTCTACGAGGAGATATTTCGAGAAAGGACGAGAAAATTGCTGTCTCTCTCGCTTCCACCCCGGGCCGTCGCCGCGTTTCATCCACCTCCCTCTTACCACCACCCACCACCCCCCTCCTGCGTTCTCTTATTTACGCTTGCGTCCTCT